TAATCGGTGATAATTAAGTATTCTCAATGAATTATTGAAAACTCTAAGAAGATATCGTAATATCCACTTAGAATCATACTGCAGGATATCCTCATCTAGGAGTTCCAAGCTTTAGTTACTAATAGAATCAGAAGATCCCTAAAACTGAACTATTTATTTTACATGCTTTGGTTCAGTACTACTATGATGTTTTAAAGTACCTATTTTAAACTTTTTTAAAGTACCTATTTTAAACTTTTTTTTAATTGATCATTTCATTTTTTTGTAAACTGCTTAGAGGTTTCCTTACAATCAAGCGATATGTAAATTTTGTTATGATTTCACTCTTACTGTCTAGGGCTTTGCAGTAGGAGTTGGGAACTTTTGGTCCTCCAGATGTTGCACTACCAATCCCATCAGCTCCAGCAAGCATGCCCAACAGCCTGGGAAGAGGGGAGTTGTAGTTCAGAAACATCTGGAGGGCCAAAGGTTCCCATACCTGCTTTATGGGGGTCTCATGCAGTGGTCTTTCCCATCACCTGCTCCCTGATGCTTTTAACTGCAGGTGCCAGGTATTGAAAGTGGGACTTTCTGCATGTGAAGCATGAGTTCTGCCAATGAGCTATAGTGCTTATCCAGTATATCATTGTCCTGGAAAGCAAACCTAGACATTTACTGCATTAAAAGGTAAAGGTACCCCTGCCCGTACGGGCCAGTCTTGCCAGACTCTAGGGTTGTGCGCTCATCTCACTCTATAGGCCGGGAGCCAGCGCTGTCCGGAGACACTTCCAGGTCACGTGGCCAGCGTGACAAGCTGCATCTGGCGAGCCAGCGCAGCACACGGAACGCCATTTACCTCCGTTACACAACGTTTACTTCCGTTACACAACGGAAACCAGAGCAGCGCACGGAAACGCCATTTACTTTCCCACCGGAGCAGTCCCTATTTATCTACTTGCACCCAGGGGTGCTTTCGAACTGCTAGGTTGGCAGGCGCTGGGACCGAACGACGGGAGCGCACCCCGCCGCGGGGATTCGAACCACCAACCATGCGATCGGCAAGCCCTAGGCTCTGAGGTTTTACCCACAGTGCCACCCACGTCCCTTTTTTACTGCATTACCTGCAACTATTTTCTTGATATTAACTCACTACTACTACTACTACTACTACTACTACTACTACTATTAGTGTTGTTTTCATATAGCAGTTTAAATTTGGAAAGTGCATTTTGATCTTTATCTAATTCATCACCATGTGAGAAGGTTCTGTATTATTAACTACAAGCTGGGACTCATGAAAATTTCATGGGTGAACAGGGAAAGCTGGGAATTGACTTCAGAGGATGTGTGTCTAAACTTCCCTCACGCTATGCAGTGTGTCACAGATGCCCTCGGAGATACCAGGCTACCAGAGTCCTTCTGCAACAAACAAACAAAGGGGGGGGGAGATGGGCAAAGTTGAAGGCACCACATGTTTTACAACCATTCAGAATTAAAGGAAACTGGTGCAGCTGCAATATGGCACCCTGGAACTCGCAAGCTTTTGCATTCATCTGTGCATGGAAGAGGCCAGGAATTTATTTATAGAATCAGAGCTGGAAGGTGTCTCCAAGGTCAACTAGTCCAAACCACTGCTGATGGATGAAACCCACCAACAAAGCCCAGTCACTACTAAAAACCTGTAGGGAAGAATTCGATATAGCACTAAAGTCCCTTACCAGTGTACTAGATGTGAAGGAAATCAGCCCTGAGTGCTCAGTGAAGGGACAGATCCTGAAGCTGAAGCTCCAATACTTTGGCCACCTCATGAGAACAGGAGACTCCTTGGAAAAGATCCTGATGTTGGGAAAGATGGAGGGCACAAGGAGAAGGGGACAACAGAGCACAAGATGGTTGGACAGTGTTGTCGAAGCTACCAACATGAGTTTGACCAAACTGCAGGAGGCAGTGGAAGACAGGGGTGCCTGGCGTGCTCTGGTCCACGGGGTCACGAAGAGTCAGACATGACTAAACGACTAAACAGCAACAGATGTGCTAGCAGAATGGCTTGCACGAAAAATGGTTGCTTTCCATATGAACCTACCTGGACCCTGAGATCATCCTCTGAGGTCCTTCTTTGTGGGCTTCATCCAGAGGGTAGCAACATTAGAACAGGCTTTTTCTGCAATGGCTCCCTGTTTGTGGAATGCTCTCCCCAGGAAGGTTCAGCTGGTCCCTTCACTATACCCCTTTAGGCACCTGGCAAAAATGTTTGTCTTCAGCTAAGCCTTTGGCTAATTATCTGATGCCCTTTTAAATGTATTGGATTTTTGGTTTGGTTTGTTCTTATTTTTATTAGGTATTTTGTGTTTTTATATTGTAATTTTATGTTGTGAACTGCCTTGAGATCTAAGGATGTAGGGCAGAATACAAATTTAATAAATTAATAAAATAAAAATAATAAGTGTGTGTGTACACACGCACTCATACACAAAAATGAATGGAGAATATTTTTCTCTGTATTTCAGTCAGTTTGTATAATTGGATATGGGCAGCATGTAATTAATTTGCAACATTTGCATACTGTCAGTACAAAAGGATATAGTTCCTTTATTTGAATTTGCTAGCAAAATATAGGATTGGCTTTAGAAGTGCAAAACTCGTGGGGGAAAATAATCTGTTAATATTTCCGTAAATAATTTTCATGCCTTTCTTATATAATTATAAGGGGAAAGAAGGGGGGGCTTATTCATTCCTTTAATGGAAAGGAGCCAGTCTCAAAAGCTGAATGAGCTTTTATTACTATTGTTCAGCAAAAGACAACAGATGCTGCAACTATCTTTTTTCATGCCAGACTCACAATTTAGATCCGGCAAGGGACTTCTATTGAAATTCTGGAGAGACCTCTGTTCTCAGCAGTGCTGCTGTGCTAAGATTAATATTGGAGTCCATTGGCAGGACAATTCACATTGAGGCACTTGATGTGCTTTTCAAAAGCATTCGTTTTAATAAAGAAATACTTATTTTACATAGCTGAGTTAGCAAGTGGTAATTAAAGGTAATCATTCTATTCATTTAGGGTTCCCCCCTCCTCCTTATTCCCCGCAACTGAATAATAGGACTGTTGTAAGGCAGAACATTGCCACTGCCCAACATTCTTTTGATAAAGCAACGAAGATTTAAGAAAATTCTGTGATGAAAACAAAGTTGCACTAATTCCAATCTTTCCTTTGCAGCTGTGGTCCAAATTACAGAAGTTTTCCACATACTTAAGATTGAGTCTAATTCACAGCGGGAAAGTTTACCAGTGGCATCTGAAAAATGTGTGATTTTTCTTTCAACATGGTGATTTGTATGACTATAATTATGATGACTGTGGTCTTTGGGCAAAATACTACCTTTATTGTTACCTGCACGTACTTGCTTGCTCTGTACACACTCTAGCAGGGCCTTTTGTTGACCAGAAATGCAGAACTGAGGAGCCTTCAACAATATTCAGAGTAGTGTTTTATACAAATGGGCTCTAGAAATTTTCCACCAGAGTAACTGGAGGAACAATTTCACTGAATTTCTTCAAGAGTGAGGGGCAGAGAAATTCTCCAAGTTTGGAGAGGATGGACTCACCATTAGCAGCTGAACTCATTTTCTCTCCTGCCTCCGCCCCCCATGTTTCAGCAGCAACAGTAACTGTGTTGGCAGTCTAGCCCACCATTTTGAATGCCCCAGACCCAACATCATTCCAGGGCACTTGGGAGGCAAGGCAGAGAGAATGGCAGATGACACCAAAAAATGTGGAGTCATTCCCTCTTTGTGAGGAACTCTGGGAATTGTAACTCTGTGAAGAGAATGGAGTCTCCAAACACCTAAAGGGTGTTATCAGCATCCTTAACAAGCTAAATTTGCCAGGATTCTTTTGGAGAAGCCAAGACTGCTTAAAGTGGTATGATACTGATTTAAATGTATAGTGCAGATGGGGCCTAAGTAAGTGCATGGAAGTGGATAGAGTCATGCACTAGAGCAGGCATAGGCAAACTCGGCCCTCCAGCTGTTTTTGGACTACAACTCCCATCATCCCTACCTAACAGGACCAGTGGTCAGGGATGATGGGAACTGTAGTCTCAAAACAACTGGAGGGCCGAGTTTGCCTATGCCTGCACTAGAGCAGAGGTGGGGGAACCTATTGCTCTCCAGATGTTGCTGTACTCCAACTCTAAGCATGACCTGACTACTGGCCCAGCTGGATGGTACTTGATGGGAACTGGAGTCCAACAGCATCTGCTTTAGGGGATACTTTCCCTGACATTTAGAGTCATATTTGAAATATGGTGCGGGTGTGAGACCTGTCTAAATATACCCAGTTGGGCATCGCTGTTCGAAAATGTATTCACACAAGCTGTGAAAAAAGAACTGTTCAGACATGCCAGAGGAAACTCCCCAGTGCTGTTAACAGTTCTATAGAATAAATTCAAGTTGCTACGTTGGAGGAAGCTTATGAAGTCTTTCAAGATGAGCCCGTCTTTTGCATCAACTCGCCAGTCAGTTCCTTTCATTATCATTCAAACCCGGAAGGATCATTAGCTGAACACTTACTGGTTCACCTTCACCCTATAAGATACCACTGAATGCTATAAAGAGACAGATAGGGAACAGCTTCTTGAAACTATATCCTTTATTGTCTTTAAGTCAAGGAAGACTCTTGAAAAGAAAAGATTTTTCTGAGATTATCTTGGGAAGCTATATTTTAAAAAGAAGAAGAAGCACACCTTACAGTCTCAGACATGTCGAGCGAGTCTCCAGCTAAGCTATTTTTCATTACATATTAGCAGACCAATGAAATATGTTCAAGGGAGATCACTCGCATTTCTTATCCATCTAAAAGAGGGTGTCACTTAAGTAAAAAAAAGATTCTGCAAAGTGTGTAGGGCTTATTCCTTCCTGCATTATGTTAGTAAAAATGAATACTCAAGTCAGATTTTCTTTTTGAAAATTAACATTAAAAAAATGGATGGAGTAAACATTTGATCACACTAACCAAAACTTACCATCTGAAGCCATACAGTCTGGAAACAGGTCTGCCATTTCTTTTATTGTTTGTGAGAGCTATGCTGTTGTCTTTTATCTTCCATAACTAGGGGCTAGTTTTTCTTTGTGTTCCCCCTGAAAAGAAAAAAAGATATTTATTTTGCTAGAATTGACCTAGAATAATGTAGGTGAAAGTGGGGGACGGAATCCTGCGCAGTACAGAATATTGCAGAAGGGAGAATTCTGGTCATCAGTAAATTCAATCCCTACAGCTATAGCAGAAAGAATGGATACACAATGTGTTGCCCTCCAGATGTTTTTTTTTTACTACAACTCCCATCATCCCTGGCCATCGGTCATGCTTGCTGGGGCTGATGGAAGCTGGATTCCAGCAACATCTGGAGATGCCCTGTTGGCTACATTTTCCCCAAAACAACTCCAATCAATGTAACCCTTTATAATTATAATAAAAAATCATACTTATGATTTGCCAAAGAACTTGGAAGAATCCCACACCAATTTCAAATAAATACAGTTCTATTGTTCAGATCTAGCTGACAGATAATAGCTCCTTTCCCCAACCTCAAAGTAGGAAGGGCAAAGTATTCAACCCTCTACTTTGTGCAAATTAGAATAGTTTCAATGAATTTATGAAGATAACTAAACTGCATCAACTAAAGATAACACCCAACCACTTTGACTATAACTGCCCCTTCCCCCTTTTAAAAAAAAGGTACCATAGAAAGAATTCTACAAAAAACCTCAAGACTCTCTGTGAACCTTTTAATTGATTATTACAACTACTGTTTAGGTTTCAGCCTGATGTGACCATGGACTAGTGGGCTCTACCAGATGGAAAGTAAACCCAACTGTTAAAAGATCTGTACCAGGTGACAAATTACCTTAGGGAGAAAGAGCTTTTGTGTTCAATAATTCACCATTGTGCCATATAGGAAATGTGGAAAATATTTCATTTTTTCAGGTGCCTGCCCTGTTCAGTCTATTCTTCACAGTGGATATTACAATCCATTCTTAGCAATTTGAGCTCATCTTATGGAATGTGATTTCATTAAACCATTTGCTAGCAGAGATGGACTAATATCTCCATGACTTCAGAATCTTCTTCCTTCCTTCCTTTCTTTTACTCCCCTTCTCCAAAAACCCATGTGCAATGTTTTACTGATCTTTCATAACCAGTAACACAGAAATACTACACATAATGTCCCCTTACCAAAATAATAATAATAAAAATAATAATTACAAATGCCCTCCCAATGGGACTTAACTCCAGGATACAGGACAGCAGTCTGAAACTATCCAAACCATTGCACATACATGGGAATGCTATTAATGCATACTTAATACATTAGGGGCAGAGCAAATTAGGATTTTGAAATGTTATTTTTTTATACTGAAGGTCAGATTAGAACTGACATGACATTAAGAGGCAAAAAAGATGGGTGAATAATCATTTGCCCTGACAACTCTCATCTTCCAACCCTTCAATTAAATGAATAGGAGCACTACCTTAAGCAAGTTTACACAGAAGCAAATCCCACCAAATTAAAAACAATTTACTCTCCTGTAGGTGTGCATTGGATTGTAGCCTGTGCAATCTTATACATGTCTACTCATAAGAAAGTCCCATTGACTTAAATGGGGCTTATTCTGGGGAAACGGGTATCCAATTGCAACCTAAGGGTCATCTCAATGCATTTACTTTGTGTTTAATTGAATAAGGTTATGATCATAAGCACAAATCACATGCTAAGGCAGCTCAGCCATTTCAGAAATTCCTTGTGTGAGTTCACAGCACATTCAGTAGTAAAAAGTACTCTCCGCACCCCTGCCAGTACATCTTTGTGATCCCTGGTGGTCTGCACTACAAGAGTTCACCTGACCCGGTTTAGCCAACGACAGTACATATGATCACAGTTGGAGATGGTATGAAAAGGGTATGGAACAAGCTGTGAGTGGTGCTCCTCAATTAGAGTGCCTTGAAGGTCAAACACTTCAAAAAAAAAAAAAATGTTCCCCTTGTGTCTACAAAAGAGTAGGGCATGCACTCTAGATCTATTATCACCAAGAAGCCAGGGCTGTGTTTTTTTTCTAAATAAAAAAACCTATCACAATCCAATGAACTATGCTGTTGCATACATTGTTTTTGTGTGCTGCTGAAGGAATTTTGTATGCTCTGTTGCATGCATAGAGAATATCTATCCTGCAAGAGCTTTGTGCGCTAGAGATGGTTGCCATAACTACTACCATAGAAAGATGCATTGACAAATTCAGCCCTACAGTGTCTGTGGCTGGCACATTACCTTGTTGAATTATTCAATTAAATGTGATAATGAGAGCTCATTGACATCATTAAATACGCAGGTGAATAAAGAATTCACTTTGAAGTACACTATTATCTGAAGCCAATTGTGAGTGAACAAGCAATACTTCTCACTACAGGGTACAGGTTTCGGAGAAGGAAACTGCCTATGCCTACAAAAAAAGAGGGAGGAGTGCTTATGAGGTTGCATTTGCTGCCATCAATTAAGAATATATCAGGTTTTAATTAGATTCTCTCTGTTTACTAAGCTTTAGTTATTGTCCATTTTGAAGAAATGGGAGAAACAACAGGAAATATTCTTGACAAGGTGCAAAAGCAAATCACATCTGCTATCAACTACTTGATTGCTATGTCTGGAAATATTCTATGGCAGCCTTCACCAACCTGGCGCCCTCCAGATGTTTTGGACTACAACTCCCATTATCCCTGATAATTAACCATGGCGGGCAGGGCTGATAGGAACTGTAGTCCAAAACATTTGTACTCCCAGTTGGTGAAGACTGTTCTGTCCTAGCAAAGAGAACCTGGCACAGTTTGCCCTTGGGCTCTGAATGTTTTTTCACCCTTCTACAACCATGAGCAATAATGCTTCAGAACTTGTGCTCACTCTCAGATATAGGCAGAGATTTGGTAGAGAAGTTAATCATGTCAATGCAGACAATACTGAGCTGGATGGACTGATGGTCTGATTATTATCAGGCAGCTTCTGGTGCTCTTGCTACCTGGTCTTTTTAACTGGAGATGTCAGTGTGATTGAACCTGGGATCACTGGCTCCATCTCCAGGGGACCCAGGCATCTACAATTATTTTGCAGTAGGTGCCCAGTCTCTGCCCCTGCCACAGAATTGATTTGCATCATAGGGCAATCCTAAAACCCAGTTATCAACCCTGAAGGAATCATCACCCAGCAGACAGGCTGGGTGATTCAGGACACGCACCCAATGCCTATGCCAAAACCTACTGATATCTGTAATCAACAAAGTTGTGGCCGTTAGATTCCATGCTACATTTGTTTTGTCATTATTTCTCATTGACACTCCCCACCTCCCAATGGCCTGGGCTCACTGCACCTGGTCCTGCAAAAATTCACACCAAAATGCTGATTAAATTTCACCAATACTTTTTAAAAAAAATATAAACTAGTAAGGAAATGTGGATAACTTAAGAGAGGAAAAATGAGATAAGCTGATGGAATCACCCCCATCCCTAACTTCAACACAGGCCACAGAACCACAGAGCAGCAGGATAGCTTAGAGCAGGCATGGCCAAACTTGGCCCTCCAGATGTTTTGAGACTACAACTCCCATCAACCCTAGCTAACAGGACCAGTGGTCAGGGGTGATAGGAACTGTAGTCCCAAAACATGTGGAGGGCCAAGCTTGGTCATGCCTGGCTTAGAGGACACAGGTCAGGCTGTGTGGCATGCAGAACTCTGGTCTTCAACATACTACTGCCTCTGTCTGCCTCACTCCCAGTACCTAACATCTGAGGCAGCTGCCTCAACTCTATCTGATGGTAGGGCTAGACAGTCCTGGAAAATAGACATATTGGCCTCATTTGTATATGATAAACTAGAATAAATAATAATAATATTTTATTTATTTATACCCCGCCCTTCCCGGTTCAGAAAACCGGGCTCAGGGCAGCTAACAACAAATTTAAAATACTTAATTGTAGAAGCAGCATAAAATACAGTATAAAAATTAATAACAATAAAATTCAAAGTTCAGAAATCAATTTGGGGGACATCCATCTAATAAGCGTTAGATTAGCGTTAGATTAGCTGGCTGAATTAGTTAGTTAGATTAGCGTTAGATTAGCTGGCTGAATTAGTCCTACATGTGAACAGACAGGTTGCTTTCTCTGGGAAGAGATGATTTGCCTCCTAGAGCAGTTTTTTATTGGAGAAAGCAAAGCCTCTCTGCTGCTTACTGTAAAGCTAGGTGAACTGGTTACTGAACAGGAGGGGGACTTAAGATATATGCACGGTGACTATAACCTGTGAATCAGCTCTAAATTCAGAGATGCAAATCAAATGCATGAGCTAATTTGGAACTGAAATAGGGAAGTGTTTGACTCAGTAGAGAGTCTGGGCTATGCCATGCTTCAATAAAATGTGTCAATAAAAGGACACAAGCATCAACGTGCAATAATTTATTTCTCCTTGAGAATCAAGTATGATGTTTGGAATCCTGAATGAGTCACAGTTACTATCCACTTAGTTCTCCTCAAGGATTTTCACAGCTGTACAGCACCCCATGTACAGTGCTGAGCCTCGAGATTCAAACTATTTATATGTGTTTGTAGCTGGGGGGGGGGATAGTGCCATCTGTCGCTAATGTGACATTTTGAGTCCAAAGAGAGTAAAATTCAAGGTGTGAAATTTTAGGTTAGTGGAGAAGACTGTGTTGAAATTTCTATTTCAATGGATGGGTAGATAAATTAGATTTAGTTTAAACTGGTTCTGTTGAAACTGTTGCTGAAATAACCTACTTCCTCACTCACTATGCACCTCACTCACTATAGAGCATGCAATAATATGGAAACTACTGGGATGTCCCACTGTGCATACAGAAGGTTATAAGATAAAAGTGGCAAGAATTAACTAGAGTCTTCACATTCAATCTTCATTGGCTCTTGCATTCTCAGACAGATGTTTTTATGCAGCTTGTGAGACTTAGATACAGATGTAAACATTTAGATGTTGTATGTAACATTTTTCTTTGTCATATATTATAGAAAAAACACTCATGATATTGGCTAGAGAGGTCCCAATGTACAGGAAGGAGCTGCT